GGCCAACCTGCTGCTCCAGCAGGTCAGGGGCTTGGGCTCTCCCAGTGAGGACATCTTGTTGCTTCGTCCCCCCGACCCCTTTGTAGGGCGGAGGGCCAGCTCCTCTCCTCCCCTTCCCTTCTCGTTCTCTGCCCCCAGATCCAGCTCATCCGGGGCAGCCGTGAAGGGAAAACCACCTGGGTTGTGTCGGTGGGGGAGGATGACGGGGGCAGCGCACGCTCTTGGGGAGGACGGTTGATCCCAGACCTGATGGCCGCAGGATCCCTGGGAGCGCAGGAAGCCGAAATAACCCCACGCTCCCGGGGTTATTTCCCACTCCTGGGCTGGGGGAGAGATGCGCGTGCCCTTGCCCTGCTGCTGCCTGTGCTGCTGTGCTGTCGCCTGTGCCTTTTCCTTGTAATTCCTGGCTTTCTTCTTGCTGTACCTGGCCACTTTTTTTTTTTCCCAACAGCTTTTCTTGTCTCTATCTTTCTCTTTCTCTCTCTCTTCCTGTCCATATGTCTTTCCCTTGCCCATCCCTCCTTCCTCGCCCATAGATGTGTCCGACTTTGAGAACAATAATGATGCTAGAGGGACAGAGCTGAGTCACCGCCATGACAATCTCTCCACAGTGACCAACGCCATCGCCGGGATCAGCCCCTCTTCCTCCCTGTCGGCCTTGTCCAGCCGTGCTGCCTCTGTCGCCAGCCTCCATGAGCGCATCATGTTTGCTCCGGGCAGCGAAGAGGCAATCGAAAGGCTCAAGGTAAGAGGCTGGTTCCCAGCGGGACAGAGGGCTCAGCTCAACACTCTTGCACTGAGGCTTGTGGAGAGGGCTTGGTATTTTCTGGAAACCCGCTATGGGTGATGCTCATGGGAAGCGATGCTCAGGCGTGCTGTTGCGGAGTGGACAGACCCGCAGCTGCCCGGTGCTTTGGACTGCTGGATGGGAGGGGGTTTGGCATGGTAGGTCCACCTGGTGCTGCCCTCCTCCCCCTGGGGTGGCTGCTGCCTTTGCCCTGCGGGATGGGCGCTCCTGGCTTGGGATGGGTGTTCCCGGCTCCGCATGGCGCAGGAGCGGGCTGGCGGCAGGGGGACGGGGAGGCTGGTCTTCGTGCCTCACTCTTTGAATGGGACGGGATGATGGAAAGACATGGATGAAATGCTGCCATGGCTCATTTAAACCAGCCTGGCACTGGGACCAGCATCCCACTGCGGCATGCTGGGCAGAGCCTGGCAGAGCGGGCAGGTGCCCGTAGGACGTGTGAACCCCCTGCTGATCCTGTGCTCGCCAGGAAACGGAGAAGATTATCGCAGAGCTGAATGAGACATGGGAGGAGAAGCTACGGAGGACAGAAGCAATCCGGATGGAGAGGTGGGTGGGTTGGGGTTGGATGGGACGGGATGGGACGGGGTTCCCCAGGCATCTCCCCTCCTCTGTGCTTTGCCTACAGCAGTTTAGTTCCTGGGGGCAGCCAGGCGATTTGACCATTCAGCCCATACCCTGGCTGCCCCCCCAGGCACCTCAGTGCCCATCACGTCAGCCTGGACGGATGTGGTCTGCTCCGGGAAGCCATCCTGAGGCATGGAGAGAGCTGTAGCAAGCCCTATGGCTGTGATTTGTGGGGAAAACTCGTGGGCTCGGGTCCCATCCTGCGCTTGTCTCCAGGGGCTCGTGGGGCTTTGACAGACTCTTCTTTCCCTTGCTCTTTCAGGGAAGCATTGCTGGCTGAAATGGGGGTGGCCATGAGGGAGGACGGAGGCACCTTGGGTGTTTTCTCTCCTAAAAAGGTAGGATCATCTTATTCTCTTCTTCCTGGCAAACAAGGGCTGGTTCGTACCCCTGCAACTCCCTTCTGACCTGCCCTGTCGCTACCGGTCAGCCCCAGATATTTCACTAGCCTTTTCTTGGCTCTGAAACCTATGGGGGAAACTCCAGTGTTGACCCTTCTGGATACGGACATTGGTAGAAACACGTGGCTGAACGTCCAGCCCCTATTGCCTGGATGCTGTCCCCATGCAGGTGGGGACTTTGCTGACGATTGCTGTGTTGGACTTCAGTGTCAGCTTATAAAAATCCCTACTTTGGGGTGTTTGAAATTGCTGCCCCTGAAACCGGCAAGTCCTCGCTGAGAAGTGTGGGCATGGAAACATTCCGTACTCTTTATTGCTTGTAGCATCCTGTATAATATTTCCTAAGAAAATACTGGCTGTGCCCCAAAGAGTTTGTGTGCCAGCGAACCCTGCCGAGCACCAGTTACAGCACATCACTGCCCCTCGCTCATCTGTACAACCTTCTTAGTAGTGACCTCCAGTTTACAGCCCCAGCCCCAACCCCTGGAGCCCGCAGAGCAGCACGGGTTGCTGAGGTGCAGGTAGGACCAGGGCACGCTTGCTCGGCTCTCCCACCGTGCTGAGGGATGTTCTGAGAGCTGCCTCAGCAGCTGATGCTGGTTGGCTTGGCCAAACGTCTTAGTCAATGCCCGTGTCCCCAGCTGAGGTGGTGACATTCAGTGATGAAGGCTTCAGGACCTTCCCCTTGCCTGCCTTGCTGTGGCTCTTAGGACAAATTTCTACACCATCATTGTTTCTCGTTCTTGTCTCAGCCACTGCCTGTTAGGACCCCAGACCTTAGTGTAGAAAATGTGGGGGTTTATTCCCTGAAACAGGTTTGTCTTGGAGGTGGGGCATCGCTGTGGCGGTCTTGGTGCCTCCTCGCTCTTCAGCTGTCTGACAGATGGAAACTCTTCTGACTTCTCCAGTGGCTGGCAAGGAAAGTTAGTGTCCATAGCATTTGTTTTGTTAAGGGCAAAGCAGGGCAGGACTTGGTTGTCCTGCTGTATGCCATTGCTGGGGTGCTTATGACCCCAAGAAGCTCAGTGGAAGGTAAGAGCATCTGCCTTCCACTAGCCAGCCTTGCAAATCTGGAGAAAAACGGCAAGCTGAAGGGGTCTCAGACCCCAGGGCTACGTATCTGCCTCGAGGGGCCTGAGGTTAAATGTTACGGCCAACATATTCCTGCCGGCCACCGTGGAGAAGAGCCTGGGTTTCCCTTGACCTCCAGCTCTCCTGCACTGTTTGTGCCTCCTGTCAGCCAGGGCTCATAGCACTGTCGTGACGGGGAAACCTCTGTGTGCCAGGTATCAGCGGGCTGATAGGACATTTCTTACGGTCTCTGTTTTTATTTCTGGGAAACTCAGAACTTCACCTACCGATACTCCTGGGATTTTGCCTGTTGCCTGAAGGTGCAATTGCAGCAGCTTGCGATGGGCTCAGATAAGCTAGCTGCAGCTGGAGAGGTCTGTGGGTGGGGGATAAACTTCCCTCTTATCAAGAACAAAGTGATTTGTGACCGGGGGGAAGAAAGTTATGGGAGGGAACTGTTAGGAAGGAGATCGAGGAGTGAAATTCAGCCTGGACATACGGTTTCAGGGCTCCACTACTTTTGGTTGAACAGCCACTGCGTGGGACGTGTCTTTGCCTCAGCCACACTGTCCACAGCAGAGCTGGGGGCCACCGGTGAGGCAATGGCCCATGGGCACGCAGCACGGGCGAGCAGGATCCCGCCCCAGGAGACACTAAGCCGTATCAGGGCCTCTCCATGGGAATTGTTCAGCTCCATGTCGGGCCTGTTTGCACCATGAATTTTCAAAGGCAGGTGGGGGAAGGGGGCCCCAGGGCTCATCCCCTTGAGGAGGAGAGCAAGGAGGCGTGTGGAGGAAGGTCATCCTCATCCCAGCTGCTCGGTTCTCTGCAGTCCCCTTGAAAAGTACCTCCCCGGGCATGTTGTCCTGGGGCTGTGGAGGGCAGGAGAGCCCACCCGTGTGCAGGGGGCAGCCTGAGGTGAGTTTCCACCTCCCTCAGGAGCATCCCTCGGTACCCAGGTAGATGGGGCGTACTGGGGTTACTCCTTGTTCATCTTTCCCAGACGCCTCACTTGGTCAACCTGAATGAGGACCCGCTCATGTCCGAGTGCCTTCTCTACTACATCAAGGACGGGATAACAAGGTGAGGGCCAGGTTCTGCAGAGCGGTGGGAGCCTAGCCTGTAGCTCAGCACCTGACTTGCCCGGGTGGGCGGCGGGGTGACAGCTGTCCCCAGGCTGGGCACCGTTCCCGGGGCATCCCCAAAGTGCCATAGCCACACGGGAAAAATGTATTTGCCTGGCGATCTCATCAGGGACATTGGTCCTGCTGTGCACCAAGGGCTGCTTCTGTCGGCCCCAAAGATAGTTTTGGGGGGAGGCCCAGGGAGGGGCTGCCCTGGGGAAGGATCGAGCTGGCTTGAGCTGGGTTTCCACCACCAGGGTTGGCCGGGAAGATGCAGAGAAGAGGCAGGACATCGTTCTCAGCGGGCACTTCATTAAGGAAGAGCACTGCCTTTTCCGCAGCGACACCAAAACCGGTGGTGAAGGTATTCCTTGTCTGGAGGGGCTCCACCACCCTGGGGACCCTGGTTCCTCTGCATGTCCCCAGCACCTGCACCCAGCCAGGGGCCCTGCCCTCCTCAGACTAGTGGGGCTCTTCTGCATGGCTGTGGCCTCTCCACGCTTCCGGAGCAAGCCACAGCCCTCACCTAGCTGGGAGGGAAGCTCGTGCAAGGCATGTGGAAGCTGCCAGGTGAGGCAAGCCAGGGAGATCAGGGTGGGAGGGAAGAGCAGACCGTAGACAATTCCCCCACCCGAGATGCAGAGCAGAGCCCACCCCGCAAACCAGCAGGAACCCGGAGGTGAAAGGGCTTTGGGAGACAAGCCTGGGGAGGCTGGAGATGTGTGCTGGAGGCTCTGATCTCTCACATCCAGTCTCCATCTGCTTGTGATCCTTGGGACTGCTCTGACTAACATGAGGTTGGCTGAGCCCTGTTGGTTGCCCAGGGTGTGGGTGCTGCTGGTGGGTACTCTAGTGTCGTCCCCCCTCCGCACCTGAGGTGCCGACTGGGGCGGCTCCCCCTTTCCGAGGCTGCAGGAGCAGGAGATGCAGGATTTAGCCCTCTGCTTCCACCTTACCTTCGCTCCCTCTCTCCCCCTCCCGCCGTCTCCGCAGTAATAGTGACCCTGGAGCCCTGTGAAGGTGCTGACACCTATGTGAACGGCAAAAAGGTGACGGAGCCCAGTGTCCTGCGCTCAGGTGGGTCCCCGGAGCTGGCATGCCTGCGCTGCTCTAACCTACCTCCCTCCATCCCACGGGTGCCCTGCAGGTTGTCCCACCTTAAACCCACGCCCTTTCCCCAAACCCAACTTGCATCCCTGTAGGAAACCGCATCATCATGGGGAAGAGCCATGTCTTCCGCTTCAACCACCCTGAGCAGGCGCGGCAGGAGCGGGAGCGGACCCCCTGCGCCGAGACCCCTGCAGAGCCTGTGGACTGGGCTTTCGCCCAAAGAGAGCTGCTGGAGAAGCAGGGCATCGACATGAAGCAGGAGATGGAGCAGCGGTGAGGGCACGGGGGCTGGGGCGATGGGGAGTTGGGTATCCACCTCCAAGTTGGTCATCCTCTCCTTCCCCATTCCTCCCAGGCTCCAGGAACTGGAGGACCAGTACCGGAGGGAGCGGGAGGAGGCAAATTACCTTCTTGAGCAGCAGAGGCTGGTAGGTGGCCAGGACCTGGCTCCTTCTCAGGCTGCCCAGGCATGACTGAGTCCTGGCGGATGTTTGTGTGGGGTGGCTCTGTCCTAAAAACAAGGGCCAAGCCGTCGCTCCTGGGGTTGTCCCTGCAAACACAGATCCAGAGGAGGGAGGAGGCTGGGTTCCCGCAGCGGGGAAGAAGCGCTGTGTGGCAGCGTGGGGGAAGGTCACGCCTTGTGGGCTGCATCGTCCCTCTCCCTGCTTCCCCCAGGACTATGAGAGCAAACTGGAGGCTTTGCAGAAGCAGATGGACTCTAGGTATTACCCTGAGGCAAACGAGGAAGAGGAAGAACCTGAGGATGAAGGTGAGGGCTGGTTGCCACCACAGGGTTTTGAGGCTCTCTGTGGGAGCAAGAAGAGTGCTCTCTGTGGTAGTGTCCTCCCTCCCGGCAGTGGGGTGACTGTCTCTCCATGTCCCCACAGTGCAGTGGACAGAGCGGGAGTTTGAGCTGGCCCTCTGGGCCTTTAGGAAGTGGAAGTGGTACCAGTTCACCTCCCTGCGTGACCTGCTCTGGGGCAATGCCATCTTCCTCAAGGAAGCCAACGCCATCAGTGTGGAGCTGAAGAAGAAGGTGGGTGCCCGGGGCTCCTCCCTGGCTTGCTGTGGCACCCGCAGCAGAGGCCACGAGCGTGGGCAGCTGGGAGGGTGCTGAGCAGGGGGTCACCGAAGGCACCGTGCGGAGCCTGCTGTCCTCCCAGGCGGCTCACCATCCCGCTCTGCCCCTCTCCAGGTCCAGTTCCAGTTCGTGCTCCTGACAGACACACTGTATTCACCTCTCCCTCCCGACCTCCTGCCTCCCGATGCCGCCAGCCTCCCGATGCCGCCAAGGACCGGGAGAAGCGGCCATTCCCCCGGACCATCGTGGCTGTAGAGGTGCAGGACCAGAAGAACGGGGCGACACATTACTGGACCCTGGAGAAGCTGAGGTGGGCGAACGATGCCTGCGCCGGGGAGGGCTTGGCCGGCCTAAGCCTGGTTTCTCACCGCTGCCCGCTGCGTCCCCCTCTGCCTGCAGGCAGCGGCTGGACCTGATGCGTGAAATGTACGACCGTGCAGCTGAAGTGCCTTCTAGCATCATCGAGGACTGCGACAATGTGGTGACCGGCGGAGATCCTTTCTACGACCGCTTTCCCTGGTTCAGGCTGGTCGGCAGGTGAGCGCTTCGGCTCCTTCTAAGCACGGCGGGGACCCGCAGGCAGCCCT